TGCTCCTTTTGAACTCTGTATTTTGTTATTAGTGAGTGGCCAAGTACGATAAGAGTTAAACGTAAAAATCAAAGGAGGCTGCACCATTTATGGAGCGTTCGGAACACCTTTTAGTACCAGCCGGCCAGTGCCAGTGGAGGGAGGATCCCAGGATGAGGTGTACCGGTCTGATCGATGACAACAGTGAACAGAGGTGTGGTCAGTGGAGAGAGAATTCCATCTACCTTTAGTCAGTTGCTTGAGCAGTCAGTCCCCAGAGAGTTGTGAAAATAATCTTCCCGTGTAAACTGTCTTTTATATCATGACATCATGCTTCGACATCTGTGAAGTGTCATCCCCAGTGTTTCTTCAGAATGCCGAAGCACCATGGCAACCAGTGCCTCAGAAATGTGAGGTGGGCTTTTAATTGCTTGTGTCCAAAAGCACATTTCAGGAAGTTTCAAAAACTACAGTATTCTGAGGAAAGTTTACAATTACTGCAGTCATCTCAGCATGTATACCAGGTGTATTTTGGGCATGAGCCTTCTTAGAAATAAGAATCTTTGTTCATTTTTAAAGCATGCATGTTGTTGTAGAGAAAATTATATTAAAAGTTAATCAAAGTTTGTCATCCTTTATCAATGTAAGTTTGTTTTCCTGTTAATATTTTATATGAAAATATAAGTAAATCTGTATGATTGCTTTCCTTCATGATTCACAGTGTACAATAAAAAGAGATCTAATTGTCTTTAAAATTCTATATCCTAAGGGAAGAGAGATTCAGCTGCCTGTGTGTATCAGTTTTTATTTTTCATTTTTATTGTTGTCAAAATCAATATGATATTTGGAAACTGGCAAATTGATTCTAGATATCTGAGGGACTAAAATTTGTAGAGCCACATAAGTCAGTCTTGTGGCTTGTAAACACTTCTCACAGTTTTGGAGGCTGGGAAGTCAAGGTCAAGGTTTAGCATATGATGAGTTCTACTCCCTTGTTCATAGATGGCTGTCTTCTTACTGTGTCCTCATATGGTGGAAGGGACAAGAGAGCTGGGGTTTCTTGTACAAGGGCACTAATCCCATTCACATGGGCATCACCGTTCTGAGCGAATCACCTCCTAAAGGCCTCACTACCCTGTAGCATCATCACATTAAGGGTTAAGACTTCAACATATACATTTCAGAGGTACACAAACATTCAGAACTTAGCAAGCACTTAAAACAATCTGTGACCTGTATGAGCTTTGTTGTATGAGTTATTGAATGTTGGCTGATGGAGGCATTTTAAAGAAAGTTTAAAAAATCAGTGAGTTTTTGCAACAGGAAAAACAATGAAGAAAGAGGAAATGGGCTATTTTTAGTCTTCATATGGGTAGGGTGCAATGTATTTACCTAAATATGTCTAAAATGAAGTTGAAAGTAATGGATGTGGTGGCATACACGTTTTGAGGAGACCAGTTTACAGGAAAATGTTGAAACCAGGCAAGTGACTGAAAACTTAGGTACTTTCCAATTCTGCCTTATTCTGAAATAAACTATTGTCTTTTCTGTATGCTTGATGTTCAGTGAATATGTCCGGAATCATTTAATGTAATAGTTTCATTAAATACCCCAAATTTTAATAGTTAACCATCGTTGGTTAACAAGAACAAAAAGGAAACAAAACCCAGCACTTTACGCAGTACAGACCAGTGTGGTAGAACATTCTTACTGTTTGTTCTAGGAAGACATATAACTCCGAGAAGACTTAACACAGATTAGTAAGATGAGGTTAGACCTAAGAAGTCCTATTTCCAATTCCGTTAAAACCTTGAAAAAAAATTGTTTGAAAGAACAAGGTTAGTATTGGGTTTTTCATGTTCATCTTTATTAATTTTTAATTTTTTAATGTGTATTTATTTTTTAATGTGTATTTGTTTGCACACGAGCAGGAGACAGACACAGAATCCTTGAGCTGTCAGCACAGAGCCCAACACGGGGCTCAAACCCACAAACCAAACCCACAAACCATGAGATCATGACCTGAGGTGAAGTCGGATGCTTAACCGACTGAGTCCCCCAGGCACCCCTCAGCTTTATTCATTTCATCCTGAGGCCATACACAAGGTGTTCTGCGTCTAGTTTCGTTTTACCTCTGTCCCGAAAGCTCTAATTCTTACACCTTGGCCCTGCAGTGATGGCCAGGTCCATTGTCCTGTGCTTGTAGCTGCACACCATGGGTGAAAGAGGAGGAAATAGGATTTTCCCCCTTAATTTATTAAGTGGGTTGTGGCAGGTTACTTCCCCCTTTTGCAAGAGTCTCTGTGGAAATTTGATGACCCTGAATCCTAAGCCCCACCCCACTGGTATGTCAGTAAAATCTCTCCGGGAGCCTCTGTCTTGGCTTTTATGACTTAAAGATGTCTCCAAGTCCTGGGGCTTCAACTCTTTTGACATGTAATACTTAGCGAAATGAAACTTTAGTCTCCATTTAGCCAGAGATCTAGTCCATGATATAGCGACTTGGCCCTCTTGAAAAGACACACGGAAGTTTTATTATTCTTTTGAATCAGAACAGTTAGATAAATGTCAGCACATCTAATTCTCATGGTGTGTGAAAAGAAGAATATATCTGTAGGATGAAAGTAAACATTCCCTTCTTTACATTATATATATTTTAGAGACTCAGGAGGCTAGGGCTTTTTGTTAGAGCACTGCTAAATCCAAGGAAGCTTAATTTTTCCACACCAGGAAGAAATTCTACCAGGTCATGTGAATGTTTTATGTAAAGTAAACGATGGCAATGTATGTAGAGTGAGGTAGGCTTTCTGGATGAATTCTGAAAAAATGTAAATGGTAGAGAAGAGAAATAAGATACTCATGATGTAATTAAAAACTTTTACTTTGGGGAATTCTCTCCCTCTGTCTAGTAACTGACTTGTGTAGTATTTCAAACTTGTCTGGAAGCCTCCTGTTCCTAGAAATGTGTCCATAGGATATTTGGAAAATGTATCTGAACTGATTCTGGCTCTAAAGGGAATGCCTAATCCTCTTCCTCATCTGTTTAAATTTGTTGAAGTTGTGGACTTGTGTGAGGGCACAATAATGTAAAAGTTTGTATATATGTAGAAAGTAATATATAAAGATGGGGTCGTGATGTTAGGGTTTTTGAACTGGGACTTTTTCAAACCAATAATCTTCTTTAATCTCTATTTTTTAAAGCAGGATAAATATTGACTGATAGTGTGACTAAGTTGATGAATTATGTAGAGTTACTCTTAAACATACCATATAGAAACCAAGAGCGTAAGACATCCTATTGGCATAGTTTTTCAAGGATAACCAAAAGTAGTCGTAATTAGTTGACTTACTTGGAACTCTTTCTTTCAGCTTTTTGCCTGAATTCATCAGTGGAGACTTTGATTCTATTAGGCCTGAAGTTAAAGAATATTATGCTGTTAAGGTAAACTATAAACTCTTTTTATATTTAAGATCTCTTATGATTGCTTTTCCTGTGTTCTTTCTGATGTCCTTGACGTATGCATAGGGGTTTACAAACTGGTTATTAAAAAAATATATATAGCAATTGTAATGCACATTTAAATAGAAATTTAGAAATGACAAGTGGAAACCCAGTCTTAGAAATTCTGTCACCATCAGATGATCGTGAATGCTTAGTCCTTTAAGCATATATATTTTAAATGAGTTTATCGTTTATGTAGGCTCATTTAATAATAGGCTCATTTAATACTCTTGCCTACAACCTCATTAGTTAATAATATTTCTCACAAATCATTTTTAATTTCCTTTAATGAGTCCACTGTATTTAATTTAACCAATTCCCAATTTATTTATATTTAAGTTTGGAGTCCACTATATTTAATTTAACCAATTCCCAATTTGTATATATTTAAGTTTTATCCATTTTTTTGCATTGTAAACTAATAAAAACATCCTTGCAAACTGAATTTTCATAAAAATACATAATTACATGTCCCAGAATTTGAGAACCATAGTTTTTTTCTGTAATATTTAGTTTTCTTGAAACTATTATTACTCTGTTCTGAATGAAACTATTCATTACAGCCTGAAATTAATAATGACATACAGCTTATTAACATGTTTATGTTATCATTCCTATTGTGCAAATATTCCAGAGATCCTTGTCCCTTATAAATGATCTAACTGAAAATGAAAGAAGACACGTAGGAGTGTATTGCGGTAATTGATCATTTGAACTTTCGCTGGTTTTAGAGGACATCGCAGAGTTTTTAAAATAAAAATTATAGCCTCAGCAATTCTTGCCGCACACCGCCATCTGTGTTATTCTGAACTTGCGTTAGCAAGTCATACGTGTTTGTAAAAAAAACAGCAGTTACCAAGACAAAAATTTAAATTCTTTATGAGGCTTGGGGATGGATGAGATCAATTCAGAAAGAAGGGAGGAAACCTGTCATAGGAAGGAAAGAAATAAAGAGGGAGGGAGGGAAGGAAAGAAGGGGAAAAAGAAAACACTTGATTGCAGATCGGGACACAAAGGTCACCAGGTTATAATGCATTCGCCGGGGTGATAGGGAATTTCTGGGGCCTGCTGCGAATGCGGGTCTGTGCTTGTTCCCTCTGCCCACCAGCTGATCAGACTATCAGCAAATGAAGACTGTTCCCAAGTCAGCGTTTGATATTCATGCTCAATTACTTTAACATTGGCATCTTTCTGTTCGTTCCCCAGTCTCACTTCTCATTAACTCCATACCTCACCCTCGTTGGGATGGACAGCCCTCAGCCTTGCTTACAATGCAGAGTGTTATAAATTCATAGACGTTAATCATATTTTTGGAAGCAGAAGAAACAGCAGGAGAGGCAGGGACAAACAGACTTAGAAACACGTTGAAGATCTGGCCAGATGTGACTTTCCTCCTCCTCTCTGAAATGCTGCTGGCTTGCAACAACTGGAAATGTCCATCTGATGATTCCTATCCAGGATGGGGGAAGTAACAGGAAATAAGAGGAAGCCAGCCTCTTAATTTCTTACTGCAGTCAAGCATAAAGGAAAGTTTTGACTTCTTACTATTTGATGAATTTCTCTTATATTTCCTACTTCATTTTTTTTAACTTCAAAGCTAATTTATATGTGTTAAGATATTTTTAAAGTAAGCGTAGCTCATTTTCTAATTCCTTCATTGCGTAGTTAACAAACTGGTTTAGTACAATCCAGTTTTTTCAAGTATATATGGGAACTCAGTTCTGATCTGTTCCCAGAGGGTCCCAGTGATGTCTTTTATGTAGCTAATGTGCCCTGTACAACACATGGTGAGTGTTTAGCTACAGCGTTAATAATGATGCTAATGACAACAAGTTAATGCAGCGTCTCGCGATTCATATAAGCCATTATCTCCAATTTAAGCAGTATTGAAGCTGCTCTTTTACAAACAAAAGAAGGTTATCTCTGCTTTCAAACACACTCCTCCCACCCCACCTGATCTGGGTTTTCAGTGCAGCTGAAACTGCAGCTGAAACTGGGGCTCTAGTAAAGAAAGTAAAAAAAAGAAATTTAGAACGCTAAAGGTTTGTTAAAATTTTAAAGTGCGTTTTGTAGCCAACATTTACTCACACAATTTTCCCCCAGTAGATACGTCTTGACGTATCGAAAAACCCAACGTTACATGATTATATAAAACTTGAAATTGGTCTGCCTGCTTTATTTCCGAGAACCGAAAATATAAAGTATTTGATTTGTCAGCTTTTAAATAATATATCCCACATCTTGCCGTCTTTATCAGTTGTCTGTTGTGGAATAAATTATCCTAACATTTAGCAGTTAAGAACAGCAAACTGTTTTTATCTCCCATACTTCCTCCAGGTGAGGAATATAATATGGAAGTCAGTTAACTTGGTGCTTCTGGCTCAAGGTTTCTCATGAGCTGGGTTTTTCAGTCATCTCAAGGCTCTGTTATGCCCAGAATTCGTGATCCCCAAAGACCACTAGGGAGCCGAGTCCCATGCAAAAGCAAAGAGCCTTTATTCGAGCTAGCTCGAGCTCAATCCCCTACCTGCACCGAC